ATGTGGCATACATATAGAAACCTTTTCTTGTAAGTTAGACACATATCTTGTCAGTTAGACATATGTTAGAGGTCTTATAGAATATTATCATATATTTCTTAATTAAATAGTATACATAGATATAAAAATGAGGCCTTCATCACTCTTATTAATTTCTTTCTTATTTTTAGTTTAGTTTCAAGTATCTTTAATTTTCTTATCTTTTGGCAATAACCATTTTGGTTTCTTCTTGTATATACATATTTATTTATTTATTTATTTATTTTTGTTATCTTTTTTTGAAAATTGTCTCATTTATTTATTTGCATTCATCAAGTTCATGTCCTTGACAATAGCACACATGTAAGAAACTTGACTTATAAGTTAGAAATGTATCCCATAAGTTGGATCCATATTAAATGACCCATGAAATGTTCCTAAGTAACTTTCTTATCTTTGGCAATAGCCATTCTAGTTTCTTCTTGAATGTGCGTACTTTTTTATTTCCTTCATGTCATTTTCTTTGAGATACATCTCACATGTTTAATTATATTTTTCAAGTTCATGCCCTTAAAATATAGAATAAAAAAGAACTTCGTGAAATGAATCAAATCATGCTTTTATTATAAGTCTAAACATGTCAAGTTATATCTTAACTGTAAAAATTATAAAAAATAATAATAATAACAAAAAATAATCATGTTGTGTAATGATTATGTATATCAATTTTAATATGGCATCTTAAAATTTTTTAAATGCTACTTTTCAAGGTAGAACTAGTCCAGATTCCAAGAAAAAACTATTTATACCATGTAAAACGTAAATAATATAATGAAATTTATCTCACCTTTTCGTCATATAATATTATGATTGTGTTTATTTTTAATTATGGATCCAACCAAGTGAAGCTTCTCAATTTCAGCAAATTTAAAAATTGCTGAAATTCGACTTCATCATCCAATGCTCGCTGGCTGGGTGCCAAGTCAGCCGCTGCTAAATTTGGCGGAGGGGATGTGGTTTTGCAACCAAACTTGGCTGAGGCCGTGGCGATTCGGGACCCTCGGGTGCAACCGAAGGCCCCCGCCTTCATCTGCGCCTGCGGTGGCGGTAACGGTGGCGATGGATTCGAGCGACCGAGCCAGCTAGTGAGGTCGTTGTGGCCACGATCTGCTGGTTCCACAGCTGGAGTATAGTTTCAAGCCCAGTCCAGTTGCTGGTCCACTTCAATATTAGGTCGCCGCAGATTGAAGTGGCTCGGAGCCAGTGATTGCTATCGAACAAGCCAGCTAGCCTCACATACCCGCTGGTTGTCGTAAGCGTGCTGGATCGCTCTGAGGTATTACCGTGGTTTCGGAGCCGGCTTCGTCCGATTAGAAGGGGTGCGGGCCCTCCCCTTGAGGAACTAGATCCGCCCCATCGTAAATCTAACTGATCAGACAAGTCCAGACCTGACCAAACTGTTACCGACCACTGCACAAAGTCATTCAAACTTCGATCTATCTGGCCACCTGTCTAGCTGCCTGCCTTGCTACGAGTGAGTGCAATCACAGTTTCACATGAGCTTCGTTGTGAAGTACTTCGCTTTCTTCCATCGACTACACATCTCACTTTAGTTCAGCTCACTGGAGATCGCATAAGGCTTCGATTCTAGATATTGCCAAAAACACTCACGTACACGCACACACTCTGATATGATTGTCGAAAAACGATTCTCTAATGTCAAGTTTACGAAGTGTGTTTGAACCTTTCAACTAAAACTTCGGCGTCGAAACCAAGTCCACAATCCTTGTTGTTGTGTCGCCTTTCTTTGCATGATTCTTTATTGCTGATTGTGTTGTGTCTTAAAAGTCAACTCTTAAGGGCTTGATGAGAACATCCATAAATTAATAGCTGCGAATTGTTTGAGATGTGAGGATTTAATCTCGGGGATACTTAATTTTTCTTAAATGGGGTCCAAGGATGTTTAACAATGCAGATGATTTTATTCATTATGACCCACAAATTGGATTCAAAAAGTTTGTTTGGAACCCACGTCCACATTGGAACAAGTTGATGCTTGTGCATGATCTCAACAGAATCTAGTTCCAGAAACTGCACTTTTAAGTTTGGTCAAGCATTTACTTGTGTAGTTTTTGAAAGTTTCATTCAAATTCATATCAAGTTATTTTATCAGCAATATTTTTACGATCCAAACTCAATCTTAATGGTTTCCTGATTCCTCAATAGACATTGTTACTTTCCAAAATCATATTGAATTTCTACATGGATTTATTTAGATTTGGTGTTTTATGCGGTTCAAATTCCATCATGAATTCCTTCAATTTTTATGTGCTCCAGTATTTTTTATTTTAAAATACAATATATATATATATATATATATATATAGACACATACACACACACGTACAAGCATACACAGACTGAAAAGAATATAAGGGTGACATATCTAGGATTAAGATTATTCTTTAATTTCTCAGGCAATGATATAGCTCTAGTCATATGTTCCCCAAATCCCAAAAATAACAAAATGTTTCACATCCAAAAATCAGAATCACACGGCACTTATTTACCCAACATCTTAAACCACTACCTTACATCCTAATATAACAGTAAGGCAAATCGACGGAAATGAAAAGATACTAAGCTTCGTTTTGTTCAAGTAGGATCCACAAAAATAATAATAATACTTACACTAGAAAGCAAACTAATGGATTTCAACATGACAGTGAGGTTTAGGCATTCGGTTTATGAACTCGATGGAGACTATACGTAAAATTTGGGCACCTCAATTAGGAACCTCATTTCGGCACAATATCCCTATTCACACATGGTAACCTCGTTTTGGTGGAACATCCTCATTCACAACTGCGAAATAAAAATAGAAAAGGAGATAGAAACCGAGGCATCCGCCGTACCAGGCAAGGGTTGGGAAGGAGAATGCCTGTTTGCTTGCTGCACAGAAATCGAGACTCGTCGTATGGATCATGCAACACATAACGGTACGTGGTGTCTGCGTGCTGGGCAGATCGGTAGTTTGACGTTATTCGCCCACCATGAAATATATTTGAAACGTGAAGCGTTGCAGGTTCACCCGCACAGTGATCTTTCGGCCGAAAGTGAGAAGGGAGTGGCTGATTTAACGTGAGGATTACGGGCCACGCTGTTGAGTTTACTTATTTTCTTTGGTGAATTTGTCGAACAGTTTAGTGGAGTATAAAGAAAGCCGAGTTGAAAATCAGATGGGGGCTTAAAAATAGGCTTGAAATCTGCAAGCTTCGAGGTCGTTTCTCCTGCCCCCTTGGTCATCGAATCGCAAGCGTGGTAGATGCTGGCCCAGACTAGGATTTCCAGGAGGTTGATCAGAGTTTGTTGGTCGTTTTGCTAGAACAACTGGCCAAATAGACTTCTGTTGCGTATTGGGCCAGAGAAAAGGATTTAAAGATAGAAAAAAAGGAGTGCTCGGTGTGGCTCCTTGTGAGTTCCGACCTTACCGTGAATGTCCTTTTTTTCCTCTCCACGCACGGGGATGGACAGAGCTAGCGACAAAAAGCCAAAGTGGGTATTGTAATAATAAGATCGTTTGCACGAGGGCTCCATTCAGCACGAACAAATTAAGTGGGTTTCAACGCTGGCGCTTTGATGTGGCGCATGATGGCTCCTTTCTGTAGCGAGTTTCTTTCATGACATGTCAGGCTTGTCCCCGTCGTAGAGAGCCTGGACAAATTATTAGTGTCCCCGATTTCGAATATTTGAGAGATCTTTTTTTTTGCCCCTTTTTGTTTCGAAGAAAATAGTAAATGAATTTTAAAAAAAAAAAAAATCGATTATATTCATGCATTTATTCTTGACACTGATCTGAACAGAGACGAGGGAAATTAAATTGTAGGGAATAAATAATCCGTAGCAAGGAACAGGGTTTCACAACATTCACACTGTGTAACTGAGGATATTGCATAGTGATATGATGGTGTGGTTCAAATCTTTTTGCCCCTTCTAAACATCTTGTAAATTATGTTGACATTTGGTTATCGGATGCATAGATGCAATAGGTTTGAAGCTGCTACTATTGAATCGATTTCGCAGAACAAGCACGCAGCTCGCACTCTGACGTTTTTACTTCATCTGGCTAGCATACATGCATATCTACGGACATAGATGTGCGGTAGCTGCCTCAGATGTTGTGAGCAGTTTACTGAAGGACAACCAACTGTTGCGAGTTTCTACAACATTCTTAGGGGGAGGTGCAGGGTTAAGGGTTTCGGGTTTTAAAAAAAAACATAAACACACAAAATTATTTAAGAGCAATTTGACAGTATTAAAGGTTTAAAACTTATTAAAATGTTCTGGTGCGAGGAGCCATTTGGAACTTCTGTTCATCCAGTACAAGGTGCCAGCTGGGTACCTATTCCGCTAAGGCTCTATTTGATACCTTGAAATGGTTCAATTTTAGAGAGAATGAACAGTATTGAGAGGATGAATATGAACAACGAAGTGAACTTGAGTTCTTCAGTTCAAATTTTCAAAGTGGAGCTTCCATGCATTCGTTAATCATAAATTCTAAAGTGGGAAGCGAATTCACCATCTGGTGACGAATTCGGAAGTAGAAAAGTATTCAGGCAGGAAATACCAATGTTAAAAAAACAAACCAGTCGCACACCGCGGCGCTGAATTGTGTCCCCAAAAGATGACCATCGCCTAATGGCAATTATCAGGCAACTTTCCGTCCCACTCTAAGCCATGAGGACATATTCAGCTCGTTTCAAAGCAATACCGAGACTTCCAACAGATTTTTGATGCTAGGTTTGTAGAAGTGCAGATTCGAACTGTCCATTTCGCACTTCGGACACCAGCTACTGCACCAGATACATGATGTCTTTATGGAGTACCAATGCTCATCGATTGATCTACTCCAGGATTACTCCCAAGCATGTTTTTCTACAAAGAACCTTTGCTTTGAGAATGCTGAAGATAGGGGTGATCACAGAGAGAGAGAGAGAGAGAGAGAGAGAGAGAGAGCTCACATTGAAGCATTTAAGAATTGCGAGAACGAATTGTATTTTCAAATGGTGAGATGGGAGGTGAAATGAACACACTAGGACGATTCTGCAGCAAATGAGAGCAAAAATAGTAAGTTAGCACCACAGCTACTACGATAAAAGAAATCTAAACTTTCACTTGTTGGAAAACCTTAGGATCTGTACTGCACTACACGAGTAAACGTCGATTACAGGAAGTGAAACCTCTAGCGTGGTAATCAGCCTCACGCTCCAGCTGATTAGATTGCCCCACAGGAGTCTCCGATATGTTGTCTATTTACTAGCACAACTAGGTCATGAGCGCCAAGCATAAGCCTGTCATCGGATGCAGATCAGGATGAGGAAGAAAGTTGGAGTTGCAAAATTGATCACCGACCCAGTGCCGAGATCTTGAATTGCGATAAGCTTGAGAGTGTGAATTGTATAACTATATCTTGGGATTCGTACCGCATTGCATATGGGTAGAGGGTGGGCTCCTGACCATAGAATCAAGTCAGTGGGGCGATCGTAGATAGCCTCTGGAAGAACCGAAGCCACATATTTAGAAACCGTAGTTTCAATACCAAATTTCATCTTGATCGTCGCTGAGTAACCTGGTTAGTAAAGGTTAATGAATGTTTTAGTCGATAGGTCAGTGACACGAAGTAAAGTGCCAAAGAATGACTGGAGGGTTTAGAGGGTCCAAGGTCCAGTGAACATTGCTAGAAGAAGCTACTGCCGATCAACTAGCTAGGGAATTGAGTGAGACCGGTCCATATCGAGTAATGGCAAAGGCTCGTGGTAACTCCATAAGACTTGCATATGAAAACAACCTCCGACACATTTTTCTGCTCCGCAGCGTCTGCAAGTTCATTTTCTGAAGGAATTCAGACAACCAAATTCCTGAAGATTGCAACGTTGACTTTACTCCAGCACTACTAATGTTAATAGTAACCCCCCAATTTCAGTAGTCTAGGGGTAGACAACATCGAGCCAGTCACCTAAAACCTTCGTTAAATATCGGAATAAAAAAAGCGAATATGGTCGTGTCCGTGGAGCTCAGGTCCAATTTCAGCTGCTAATGGGAGCCCACCTCCACAAAGTCCCAATCAGAAATACATTACGCTCCCCACCTGACGCTTCGCACCCACCAAACTGTCCACAAAAGTTACACATCGCAACGATGAGTTCTGAAGGCCGCACTAAGCAAACCCGAGACACGAGTACTCCCTCTGATTTCCAGTCACATGCTCCAGCTACGTGACTGCACACGTTCGACGAATCCTCCAATGATCCGCCTCTTGAGAGTACGAGAAAGCAACGACCACTGAACCTCGGACGCACAAAAACAGACACCACGGCACTGTCAAGCGCCTAATACTTCGAGCGATTCATATCCAACACTTATCAATAGAGACAATAGTGGCTCCCGGGGGATCCGATCCCTGTGTCATCAAGATGCTGCACTACATCAACAGAAGGGATTCCAACCCAGCGCTACAAAACGGAGCTCCACTACTAGACACGAAACTATCTTACCCTTGCCCTTCGAGAAGGCGCACCGCAACGAGACCTGGAGAGCACGCGAAGGTCACCACCGCGCCACCAGATCGAGTCCAACCGAACTGATCTGCGGCCTGCCATCTCGCCGTCAACAACCACGGCGCCGTTACGGAACATTGTATTCGCACCCCAACACAGCGACTCCAGCGAGTGCTCATGACCCAGTGGGAGAGTCTCCATGCGCAGCTGACCGCTCACAGCGCATCATAGGGTGAGTGGCAACGCGAGGCCGGAAACTCCAGGTCGAGCAGGATGGTGGAGACAGGATTGCAATGGGGAGATATGCAACATGGGGAGGTGCTTGAGGGGTGATGATCTAGGGGATGCAGTGGGGTACCGGGCACCAGCAGGCTCGGCAGCAGATTTGAGCATCTGCATCATCATCATCATCATCCTGCGGCGCTGCAGCGGCACCGTAGCACCGCTGCTGCTTTTTGTGCCTTCCCTGGCAGAAAACGGCGCCTGGGTTTGGGATGGGAGAGCCTATATGGCTTGGCTCATTGAGTCAAGGCTGAGGCTCCTACTTTGGTGGGACTTTCATCTCCGTGTTGAATGAATATCTATCGAGATGTACATATTTTTGAATTAATGAAGGTTTGAAATATTATATATATATATATATATATATATATACATTTATACACACACAACCAATTGGTGTGTTTCTGACTACTATGTGAATTGTGTATTTGTATGGTTGTTTGGCTACAGTGCATGTATTTGACATAGTTTAGTTTGTGTGCTATGCATGTTTTATATGTTTATTTATATAGAATTTTTGTAAATTAAAAATGTATCAAAAATATCAAACAACATGTAAATATCTATAATAAAATACAGAAATTTATGGAATTCTTTTAAAAAAGAATGCATTAAAAATATTCTATAAAATCTTCATACAATTCTAAAGAATTGACCTTATGAACTTCATACCTAAATGAATATAATTTTTTTCTTTTTTTTCTTTTTTTTCTTTTTTTTTATGAAAACTTTATTTTTAAAATATCATAATTTAATATAAAGGATTAGTTTTAATTTTTTTAAAAAATAGTTTTATATTTAAAATTTTAACAATAATTTTTATTAGAAATTATGTTTTAGAAACAACTATATATATATATATATATATACTTGTAAAAATCCTTGTTATTGGGCATGAAAAATATTTTGATACAAAATAAGACAACATATAATGGAAAAGAACAACATATAATGGAAAAGAACAACATATATAAAAGAATAACATGTATGAAATGACAACATTTTTTTTATATTATAAAAATATATATTTTTCAGTAATTTTATCAAATAATAATTATATTATTTAATATATATATATATATATATATATATATGTATACTATTCTTATTTTTGAAAAAGTTTGTTATTTTTGGAACTTATAGAATATTGATATTTAAATTATTATAAATAAAATTATAACTTAAGCACATATAAAGTTATGTAAATATTTTTAGATCCTCTAATAAACATAATGATATCATAAAATAATTAATAATAAGTTTTATAATATCTAAGAAGCTTCTATTATGTTTTCTTTTTAAAATTAATCACCTCTCTTTTAAAAACATATGGTTTGATCACAAAAATTACATACTCTCATCAAGGATATGAATCACAAACAATCTAAAGATTGATACACTCTTATGTTACTAGGAAAGAATTAAAAATCATTCAAAGATTTGATAATATAATATTAAAATAAGAATTATAATTATTATTATTATTAAAGATAAGAAGATTAAAGGCTCTTGAAACAAAACTAAGAATAAAAAAAGTGTTGATAAGAGTAAAAAAAGCTTCATTCTTATCTCTATTTATACTATCTAATTAAAAGATACATAGCAATGTTCTATAAGACCTCTAACATGTATCTAACTTATGAAATAAATGCTTAATTTGTAAAACAAGTGTTCTATATCTATACCATATGGCAAAGTTTTTCATCTATCAATCAATTATTAATACGTATAAAGTCAAATTTGTATCTACAAGTTATTATCAAATCTAATTATATTTATCTTTTATATAATATTTTTTATTTAGATAATTATATATATCCATAACATTACCTTTACTTTTAAAGATAAGTTTTATAAAGAATATTTATTACATATTAAAAAAATCTAAGATATAACAAATTATATTTGTCACAAACTTTAATCTCTATTTGCTTTGAAGATACTTGATAGATCTTCTCAACCATCAATAGAGTTCTATACTTGGGTGTGAAGACTATCTTGTTATTTTATCATTATTGAGTCTTTTGTAACTTCCCTCAAGTAAAATAATTTGGAACATCATTAGAGGTAGTTACTACTTCCAAAAATATTATAAAATATCAAGATTTTTTTTTAAGCTCATGATATTAAATATGTTATATTTCACCATCTATTTAGAAAAGAACATTTTATTCTTAAAGATCTTTATCTTTATTATGTTGTCTTCAAGATTATAATAACTTCAATGTGTCATTTGGTAATTTAGCAAATAATAGCTTTGAGTTGGATTTGTTAGATGCTTCATCTTCATCTTCTTAGTGCCATAAATATACAATAATCATAAACAAAGATAAATAATAAAATGTAATTTTTATTGAACCTCATTTTTTTTTCCATCAAATAATTCTTTGATTCTTCATTTTGATTTTGATGCATGTGGTCACTAAAAAACATCAACTTTTCTTATTAAATTTTCAAGATTTTTGGCTAACTTCTATGTATGTTTACTAATATCATATCCATACTAATGTACAAGATATTCTAACTTATTTTAGTGGCATCTTGAGTTTAAGACTACATAAGCCTCAAATTCTTAATTATCATCTATTTTTATATGAAGATGTGGCATTTGTCTTCTTTTTAGTATATCTTTTGTCTTGTATGGCTAAAAAATATACTTAGTATATAGAATAGATCTTTACAAACTTTTATAGATTTAATTAATAAGTAATTATATTAATTTGTTTATAAATAAAAATTATCAAAATCAATGATAATCCAACTTGTCATAAAGACAACTATTCTTAATATTACAACAAAATAATCATATCTTCTTGCATATATAGAATTGATGTTGTCTCAAGAATAAGAATTCAATGATTTCAAATAAATAAGTAAGTTATTTTTAAAAGTAATATATATATATTCAAGAAGAAATTAGAATGGTTATTACCAAAAGACAAGAAAACTAAAGATCCTTGAAACTAGACTAAAAGCAAGAAAAGAATAGAAAAGAGTGAGTAAGACTTCATTCTTATATTTGTATATATTATCTACCTAAGAACTACATGGTGATGTTCTATAGGGCCTCTAATATGTATCTAACTTGTAAGACAAGCTTCTTATATATATGCCACATGTCTAACCATAAGTCACTAATATGTGCAATGCATTGCCAACTTGTTGGCCAAGTTTTCAACCTATCAATTATCTAAAGATAAATATATAGGCAAAGTTATATCTATAAATAATCTAAAAAACATTTCTATAATATATTATTAAATTTATTTACTTTAACATTCTTCTATATATTCATATTATTTAGATAATTATTGGATTAAATATATATGTTTATTATATAATCCTTCTTATTAAGAATGAGTTCTATAAAGAGTAATGATTACATGTTGAAGAAGCTGAAGATGCAATGAATTATATTTTTTATATAATTTGATCTTTTTTTTTTCTTCAAAGATAATTGATAGATCTTTTTAGCCATTAATAGTGTTTCATATTAGGAAGAAGAAGACCATCTTGATATTTAATCATTGTTGAGGCCTTTGTAACTTCTTTCAAAGAAAATATTTGTAATACCATCAAGAGTTGTTTCTACCTCCAAAAATATGACTAAATATTGAGAGTCTCTTCTAAGGTTGTCATACCAAACATATTATATATTACTATGTCTTTGAAAAAAAATAAGTCATTCTTAATGATCTTCATTTCTATTATATTTTCTTGAAGGTTGGAACAATTATAATATCTTGTCCAATAAATCAACAAATGATAGCTCTTAAGTTGAATTTGTTAATTGTTGATTCTTCATTTTTTTAGTACCACAAATACAAAGAAATCAAAATCAAAGATAAAAAATAGGTATCAAGGATATAAATCATGAAAAATCAAAGAATCAATATACTCTTGTATCACTCAAAAAGAATAGATTATTACTTAAAGATGGTATAATATTAAGATTAGAATGGCTTTAGCCAAAAATAAGAAGACTAAATATTTTTAAAATAAGTTTAAAAATAATAAAGGCATTAATAAGAATAAAAAAGACTTCACTCTTGCTTCCATATATACTATCTAATTAAAAGCTATATAATAATATTCTATAAGACATCTAATATATGTTCAATTTACAAGACATGTGTCTAACTTACAAGACAAGTTTATAATATGTATGCCATATGACCGACTTGTACCACAAGCTATGAATATGTGCAACACATGACTAACTTATTGGCAAAACATTTACTCTACTAATTAACTATAAATACATATGAAACCAAATGTGCATCTATGATGTTTTTAAGAAGCTTCATCATAAGATATTATTAATTCTCTCTACATTTATCTTCTATCTAATACTTTATATCTAGATAATTTTTGTATGTCAATGATAATAGGATACAATTGAATATTTTTTCTTTTAAAGCAAGTAATTTCTTAATTCTTCATCTTGGTTTTGATAAATATTATTGATAGAAAGCTTAGATCCTCTACATTATATTTACAAGATTCTTGGCTTACTTTTGTGTATATTTATTAATATTATATCTTTTCTAATGAATAAAATAAATCTAAATAAATCTAAATTGGTGCTACTATGAGTCTAAGACTTCTTCAATTTTAAACTTTTAATTATTGACTATTCCTATAGAAAAAAATTAGCATTTATCTTTTGTTCGATATATGTATAATTTTGTATGGCTTGAGAAGAGACATATGAAATACATGATAGATCTTCATAAATTTTGGTATATATAATCAATAAGCAATTGAATTGATCTATTTAAAAATAAAAAATAATTCAAGTCTATAATAATTCAACTATTAGAAAGGTAGCTAATCCTAATATTATAATAAAATAATTATATCTTATTGTCAACATGGAATTGAGGTTGTTACTTACAATAGGCGTCTATATTGGTTTTTTGTTATCCTTATGCTTCTTTCAATTGTGCCTTCATTATCACATGTATATCTAATAGATAATTTTCCAAATCTTTTATTATAAGATTATTAACTCTTAAAAAGTCAAAAGTATGAAGTCATGGATGATAACTATAATTAGCATAAAAGATATTTATTAAATAGAAGAAAATATAGTGTTATTATTAAAAAACTTCATCAATGGTAAATGATTTGTCTAACCATGTTAATAGTAGTTGACGATAAATTGCAAATATTGCTCTAAAACTTGATTCA